CGGCCGCCCCAGCACGCCAGTTACCTACTTGTGGAAGGAGACGGGCTTGTCCTTATCGTAGCGGTTCTTGCAGCCGTAGGCGGAACAGGACTGCACCATCCTTCCGGGCCTCCACACTGCCCTTCTGCCCGGGAGGCAGGTGAAGTGGGCTCTCGGTGTCGCCGCGCTCGGCTTTGACACGCTCGCCGCTCTCGGTGGCTTTGGTCAGCAGTTATAGCGACGATCGCCTCACTGGGGGGCGGGGGAGGGGGGTGACTACTCTGGCCGTTGTGTTGTTTGCTTTAGCAGAAAGACCACAGCTCTCGCCCGTCTCCCATCTTCAAGATGGCGGAGGCAGCTTCAACCTCACCTCTCGCGAGGAGTTCGCTCGTTGTCTCTGATTAGCCGAAGGTAACGTTCCCAGGAAAGCCGACCATTGGCTGAGGCCAGGCGAGGCCCTGGGGCGTGGTCACCAGTGCGGAAGTGGGTGGGCCCGCTACGCTTTGGCCGGAAGAAAGGGAGTTTGGGAGCTACGCTGTAAAAGCTGGTGGTGCAGTGGTCGGTGTGGTTGGTTTGTTCGTCTTTTTCTGCTGTAGCCTGGTAAAGAACAGCAAATTGGGTCCGGAAGCCTAAAGGAAACGAGGACAAGCGCTAGGTCCTGGTAACACGTATTTTTTTTTTTAAAGGGCGGCCGCGGAGGTGTAGTTTGTACAAACCTGTGGTCTGGTTCAGAATCCACGGGGTCGGTTTCTAGTAGGGAATCCGGACAAAAACGCATTCCGTCTCATTTGAGAAAGCAAAAGCACGTCTGAACGCTGTTACCGTCGTGTCGTGTGCTGTGCTGAAAATTGCGAGCTGCTGCAGCGATTCTTCACACAGGAGAGAGGCTTTACATCCTTGCCTCCCCTCTGTACTTTTGAGTTAGGAGCACATTCTCTCTTATAGGCTATTTTCTATTTCTTTAAATATTGCTTCTCTCAGGGATCCATTTAATGCTCACCATTTCTGCAATACTTTGATTCTTGAACCCACATACCATGATTTCCTAGCTCTTTTACTTCTATATACATAGGCTTGCCTTCCAAGTTACCAGGTATATGGATAAGTGTATTCAACAACTGCTTAAAGCCAAAACCCTGGTATCACTGAGATTTAGAAGAAAAAAAAAAAAAGGCAGGACTTAAGTCTGAGGATAAGAGTACTTCTTGATCTTGCAGTTCATTTCCCAGCACCCACATGGCAGCTCACAACCATCCCTAACTCCAGGGGATTAAGCACCAGGCACACATGTTGTGAACATGCATATACACAGGCAAAATACACACCTGTGTAGGTCAGAGGACAACTTGTGGAAGTTTGCTGGAGGCTGTGGCAGCAGCAGCAGGTGACAGCTAGTGTTCAGATGTCAACCCACCAGAGGAGCGATTCTCTGATGGAAGAGAATCCTGTCTGGGAAAGGCCGGTGGGACCACCGACTCTGGAAACTGTTGCTCCTGTCTGTAATTTCACACGTGCAAAAGCAGTCATGGTGTCTCCCTGATACCTGCGTTGTAGGGTGTAATCTCATGTGATGTGTAGGTGTAATTTCATGATTACATCTCAATTTTAGGGTCACATATATGCATGGGTGGTTAGGAAGATGACATCCCTTAAACTCTAATTTTGAAATATAGAAAATATACTCAGATACGCTTCATCATTAGATCTGTTGTCCCATGAGGACTGTGGACACTTAAAAGCCGGCTTTGTTCCTTTTACTCAAACCACACACATTAGCTCATTTTTGCCTCAGAGCAAGTTCCAACTAGGCGGAGTGTTTCTGTAATTTATTTATTTATCTTTTGGATTTTCCAGACAGGGTTTCTCTGTAGCTTTGGAACCTGTCCTGTAACTAGCTCTTGTAGACCAGGCTGGCCTTGAACTCACAGAGATCCGCCTGCCTCTGTCCACCGCCTGGCTGTTTCTGTAAATTTATAGATATGCTCAAGTGATGTAGGATACCTCTCTGTCTGCTGTGAACATGTTTATTACCATTGGTTAACAAAGAAGCTGTTTTGACCTCTGGCAGGCAGAATATAGCAAGGCGGGAAATCCAAACAGATAGAGGAGGAAAGACAGCGGAGTCAGAGAGACGCCATGTAGCCTCCCAAGAAGCAAGAGGTAACAAACCACGAGCCTCATAGTAAAGTATAAAAGGATAGCACTTAGTGTACCACCCATCTTCACAGAGTTTATATTTTACAGAGGGGAAGATGGAATAAAGACGTAAATTACACTAAGCTGCCTGAATAAGGGTGATTAAGAGAAACGTCCAAAGTGCTGTAATGAGAGTAGTTATCCCATGCAAAGAGCAAACATCTGGATTGGAAACCAGAGGATGGAATGTAATGAGCTGAGGAGGAGCATTCTAGGCCCTGGGAGTATGTGTTATAGCACCAGCTTGTATTTGAAAGGATAGCCAGTAAAAAAGCCAGGCTGTGGTGGTGGAGCCCAGCTAGGAGAATAGCATGAAGTAAAGAGTGAAGGATTCAAGTCGAGTATTTGGATGAAGCTCAATGGGAGGCTACTGAGCCATTTTAAGCATTAACCAATATTTTTAAAAGGTAATTCTATCTATTTTAAGAGCTGGAGAAGGCCACAATTCAAAAACATAAATTAAGAGGCTGTTGCTGGTGAGCAAAGAGGCGGTAGCCGGGGTGGTGGCACAGAAGCTAAGAGTGGTAGGATTCAAGATGTATGTTCGCAGTGCGAGTGCTTTGCTTAGTGAGAGTGGCTGTGAGAACTGGGTGGGCGCTGAGCATGGTGTCTAAACTAAGCAACTGGCTTGAGCATTAGCTCTATGTATTATGTAATGTGAAAGTGAGAGGACTACTCACCACAAAGGAGAGACTGGTGGAGACTTGGAGGGGTGGGAGCACCTTAAACTGGGGGCAGGTTGTAAGACTGAGGATGTAGGAAGAGAAGGTTAAAAGTGGTTAGTACACAGGAAAGGCCCACTAAAAAAAACTTTGTGGTCCAAAGAATAGCGTCTCCAGCCTTGGTGAAGACGTAACCACCCAGTTGGGCCAGGTCAGCCAATCACCTGGCCCAGGCTACCCCTAGAAAGGCAGAGTCATCCTAAGACATGATAAAGAGATGGGTGGGCCAAGATTCTGTACTTAACCTTCCCAGAATCCCTGCCCTAAGTGCTGCAGAGTCTTGTACAGCCGTGCAGCTTTTTACATCTGCTTGCTTTTCTTCTGTCTCCCTTCTCTAAGCATGCTTTCCTGAATAGGTGGGATTTCCCCAACATTTGGGGCTTCCTTACTTTCTCTAAAGCCTCCTTGCCCACCATGTGTCTGACTTTTCCTCTTCTCTGTTCTTCAGGCAGCTGCTGAGCTCGACAGCTTGTCTGCCTGGGTTTTCTTCTGTTAACCTCTAGTAGAATCTTCCTTGAGCTTCATTTGAGTTCATTCTTTAATTCTTGTATTAATAAGACCAAGAACGCCAAGTGGGGCTTCCAGCTTTCCTTTACACTGCTTCTGTGCTTACGATTGCAAGTCGCTGAGGAAGTGTACAAGGATCTTTGTGGTCAGAGTCGATGTAAAACCCGTCAGGTTGTTAAATGGCTGGGTTTTCCTCCCTTGTTCATAATTTCATCTTTTGTCTGTCTTCTTCTTGTGTATAACTTGAAAATGAAATATGTACTTTTATTTTGTTGAGCATAATCCTTAATTGCCCCTATTTCAAAATGGTAACTTTATAGATATGGTAAATTGTATATAATTTTAAAAATAAACCTGTTGAATTAAATACATTATAGTTTTCTTTATAAAATATCTTTTATCCTAAATTTTTACTATGTTATCTGCAAATTTATTTTCTTAATAGAAAAATAACTTTGACCTTTTTAAACGTACTCCTGACTGTTCTGTTTTTTATTTGCCATTTCCTATCATTTCCTGGGGTTGGAATAACAGTTCTTACTTAGCAAAGGGTAAGGCAGGGAAGCATTTTCACTTTTCTTTTCCTTCCAGAGTTTCACTCTATGCTAGCCCCAAATTATGTACCCAAGGATGACCATGAACTCCCAATCTGCTTTCCTCTTCTTCCTGTGTGCTGGGACCACACCTATGGTCTTACCAGTTGTGCTAAGGGTTCAACCCATGGATTCATGTGTTCTAGGGAAGCACTCTTTCAACTGAGCTACATCTCCAGCCCCATTTCATACTTTTTAAGGTGACATTCCAGGGGAGTAGAGAGATGGCTCAGAGGTTAAGGATATTGGCTGCCTTTCCAGAGGTCCTGAGTTTAATTCCCAGCAAGCGCATGGTGGCTCACAGCCATTTGTAATGAAATCTGTTGCCCTCTTCTGGCATGCAGGCATACATGGAGGCAGAACATTGTATACATAGTAAATAAATAAATTTCTTTTAAAAAGATGACATTCCAACTGACTAATCTGGAACTTGTCATCTCGATCAGCCTAGACTTGAACTCAAGAGGGATCCACCTGTGCCTGCCTGTTGAAGGCCTGTGTCATCACATCCAAGTCCCAATGTGTTGAAAGGGTTGGTAAAAATAAACCAAATGTCCACTAACAGTTTAACGAATAAATATGGCATAACCCACAATCAGTAGCAATCAAAATAATGAAGCTATGGGATGGCCATGTAACTCAGTTGGTAGTGCTTATCTTGGCATACACTTAAAATGGGCATAATGACAGAGTAAGAGTCAGGAAGATCAAAAGTTCAGTATCATCCTGAGTTATGAAACCTTCAAATAAAAATGCCAGAACCCACAATGGATGATTTCTACACTCATAATGTTGAAGAAGTCAGACAAAAAATAACATTATGTTTCAAAAATATGTAGATGAAACTATTATCGTCAGGAGTGGTTACTTCAGGGGAAAGATGCAACTAACAGGGTGGTGGCCAGTTTGTTTATAACTCATTGATGGTGCTGTATGGCTAATTAAATCATCCTGACTCCAGGAGCCTTACAGAGTACTTGGCTTTCTGGGGAAGAATAAAGATGTAACACTGCTGTCATGGAAGAGTTAAACCAGACGGGCCTGTCAACCACCTACACAAGACAAAGACCTTCTGAAAACTGTTCTGTTTAGAAATGGAAGAAATATAGATCAGTACAATGGGCCCTTTGGCCGTTGTGCACTCTTAACCTCTTGAGAGTGTGCTCTACTTTACTCTGTAAAAAGTACTCTACAATAAAGCACCTATCTTTTAATCTGTGTGCCTCATCTCAGTTTTTTCCTTTTGTGGGGAGGGAAGGCAAAGATGAAAGGGATAGGGAGCGGAATCAAGAAGACCCTAGTAATAACATAGTTCATACAATTTTTGGTGTTTATTAAAGAACTTATTAAATAAGGGCTATACAAAAAGTGCAAGCCTGCTCTGCTCTTTTCTTAAAGGAACAATAAATGTTCATATACTCATTTGGTCTTTTCATTGATTTTTCAATAAATATTAAAGGTTAAGCTGGCCATTTAAGGGGAAAAGAATAGAAATAAGCACGCTAATTCTAACATCTTGAGAGGCCAAGAACTCCATTTGCTGATAGAAGACCATATAAGGAAAAATGAAAAGCCAGCTCCCAGACATGAAAAGGCTACATTTTAATTGGTGGTGGTTGTAATAGTGTAGCATCCCTATAAAGGAAGGGGACTGTGAAGCTGAGGCCAGTCTACATAGTGAGGCACAGTCTCAGAAGTGCTTTTACATGTGTGAAAATAGCTGAGTGATGCTGGAGCACACCTTTCATCCCAGCACTTAGAAGGCAGAGGCAGATGAATCTCTGAGTTTGAGGCCAACCTGGTCTACAGAGCACAGCCATGGCTACACAGAGAAAAACATTGTCTAAAGAAACAAATAACAAAAGACAGGCTGGGAGAATGCAAATACACAAAGTATTGCAGTTGAAGTATACTTTAATAACATGTTTTGTTAGTTATATTAGACATACGAAGATGTCTATAATTTATAAGAGAAAAAAAAGCCATCTGGTTTTCTGCAAAACTGCTGAAAACCTGCCTTCTTTAGGTCCCCACACTGAAGCCTAACCTCTGTTGTGGCAGGTAGAGGTGGGATGGAAGGTAAGACCTTGGGGAGAGTCCTCATGAATGAGATTAGGGTGCTTGACAGAGACAGACATGTGAGGATACAGCAACAAGCAGGCCATTACCGGACCCAGATGTGTTAGCACTTTCACCAAAGTGCCCCAACGAGTGTGTGTGTACATGCACACGTGAGTATTTGTGAGTTCATGTGTACATGTGCATCCTGGAATCCAAGGAAACCAGAAGGTGGCATCAGATCCTTGGGATGGGTGATTCCCATTGTAGATGGTAGGAACCTGCATCCTCTGCAAGAGCAGTGATCACTCTTGATGACTGAGCCATCTCTCCAGTCTATATTTTAGATGAAACATTCGGGCTTTCTAGACTATACTTTCAATGTGTGGGGAAAAAAGGTATAGTACTATTTTCTTTTTTCTTTTTTTTTTTTAAAAAAAAAGCTTTAATGTGGGATTCACAAATAGGTTTTGAATCCCCAGAAACTTAGTGCTCACTTTATACACAAACACACATGTACAGTGTTATATTTTAAGGATCCAGCATGACTGACCATAGCCACTTTGGTTTTAACTGCCATTTTGTAGTTAGCGAATGACCCTGGCCTTGATTGCAAACCATATAAGCAAAAGTTGTTAGGTGTCAGATGTTGGCCTGGGCTCCAAGGTAGAGTATTTGCCTAACTGTACAGGCCTCGGTCTTGGTGTCCAGCACTGTATCACTAAAGATAAGGAAAAGGAAGAAGGTCAGCCCGGCATTTTATGCTGGCCACTGATAAGATACCCAAACTCTTAACTGGCAATTTAGTGTCAGTATTTTATAAGAAGGCCACATTTGTATAGTGTAGCATAAGCCCTATTCTTTCTGAGGTGCAGCTGCCATGGGTTACTACTTTTCTGAATATTGGTTATTTTTTTCCGTTTGTGTTTTTAAACTAACTGGGTTGGGAATGTAGTTCAATTCCTAGTATAGACAAGACCGTAGGTTTGATTCCAAGCATAATAAATAAGCTAATTAAAGTCCAAATTATTAGATGTCAGCGACCTTAAAACATCTGGTGGAGCCAACAAGACGGCTCAGCAAGTTAAAGACACTTGCCACCTAGCCTGATGACCTCAATTCAATCTCCAGATCCCACAGTGTAGGAGAGAAATGACTTATAATTTGTCCTCTGATCCCAAGTGCAGCGGCATGCATGTAATAGCATAAACACATCTTTTTCCTCCATCTGTCCCATAATCCTTTACTACATCATGGCTTATGTCCTCTAAAAGACTGTTGTAAGAAAGCCAAGCATAGTGGTACAGACCTGAAATCCCACTCTTGGGAGCTGGAGACAAGTGAGTCAGCAACCCAGTGCCACCTAGGAACGTGGTATAAGCTTGAGGCCAGGAAGACTAAACAAGACCCTTTCTCAAAAAGGAGGGGGAAAGACAATAGCTTCATAGTCTCAAAGAATAAAGCCTGCACTATATGGGACTTTGAGCAGATAGTCTTTAGCCCAGAGTGGCCACAAACTTGCAGTGATCCTCCTGCCTCTACCTCTGGAGTGATGGGATTATAAGCATGCACCACCAACTTGAACTAGATGGCATGTTTCCTCATGGTACACCCATTCTCTCATGTTGGGATATGGGTTATATCAGAAGATGCAGACAGTGGCTGGTAAGACCCAAGTTCGCTTAAGGTCAAGGATTGAATGCATACAGCCAATATTAATGCCATGAAATGGGTTAGGCCCTTACTAGCAGGCCTCAAAGCTTATTGACCTGACACTGGAGATTTCTTAAGTCGTAGTGTCTGAGAGCAGTGGTTCTCAACCTTCCTACCGCTGCAACCTTTTAATAAAAAAAGTTCCTCATGTATCCCACAACCATAAAAATTATTTTGTAATTTTGCTACTGGTAAGAATTTTAATATAAATATTTGTGTTTTCTGATGGCCTTAGGTGACCCGTGAAAGGGTTAACACTTGGGTCTCAACCCACAGGCTGGGAACCACTGGTCTAAGAGCCTTAGTACCTCTTGCTTCTCCACAGCTGAGTCCCAGGTTTATGGACCATTTATAGTTTAACAAAATGAAGGGGTACAGAGTACATTCATTGTACATTGGAACTGGGGTAGGGCAAGGGATGCTACTGCAGACATGGGGATGCACAGTCAAAATGTGTATTCAATGTACAATGTAGATACACAAAAGAAAGCCAGGGAAGAAGTAATAAAGTACAAGCTTGTTTAAATCTACATTCTACCTTGTTTTCTTTTTATCATAACTTTAAGAATGTTGCCAAATGTGGTGATGCATGTCTTTAATCCCAGCACTCAGGAGGCAGAGAGAGGCAGGAAAATCTCTGAATTTGAGGCCTACCAGGTACACACAGTGAGTTCCAGGCAGCTAAGGATACATAGTGAGACCCTGTCTCAAGCAAAATGAACTAAATTAGTTGGGAATGTAGTCCAGTGCTTGCCTAATACAGACAAGACTCTGGGTTTGATTCTAAGCACAATAAACAAGCCAATTAATATTTAAATTATTAGGTGCCAGAGACCTTAAAACTTCTGTTGGATGTTTTAAGATGACCTTAAAACTTCTGTTGGATGTTTTAAGATGTTTTAAGATGTTGGATGTTTTAAGATGGCTCATCAAGTTAAAAGCACTTGCCACCTAGCCGAAACAATCAGATTACTTTAGTAGACTAATTAATGGTTAAGTAAACATGGACTATCTATTCCACAGAATACTAAAAGAATGAAGTATTGGTACCCACACAACCTGGGTAGTCATCAAATATTGATGCAAGCTAAAAAAAATCACCAAAATACTCTAAGGGTTGCAAATTATATATTATTGTAACAACTGCCCCCAGCCCCTAGACTATACCTCTGACTCTTCCAGAACACACTATATAGATCAAGTTGGTTTTGAACTCAGAAATCCTCCTGCTTCTGCCTCCTGAATGCTGGGATTAAAGGTATGCACCATTATGCCCAACTATTATTCTTGAAAATGACAAACTTGTAGAAAGAGCAGATTAGTGATTCCCTGCAGTTAAGGTTATGGGGCTTGGCGGTGGTAGCCCACGCCTTTAACCCCAGCACTTAGGGGACAGAGGCAGGTGGATCTCATTCGAAGCCAGCCTGGCCTACAAAGTGAGTTCCAGGACAGCCAGGGGTACTCAGAGAACCCCTCTCTGGGGGGGGGCCCCCCCGCATGGGGGAGGGAAGAAAAGTGTCAGTAAAAAAGTATATGTGATGATAAATTGTGGTGATAAAACTCTCTTATAAAAGTCTTGACTATAACAGAATCAATATCTTGGTTCTGATTCTAGTTGCTAATACCAATTACTGTACCGTATGTACTATAGTTCTATGAGATGCTACCATGGATGAAACGGTAAATTATACACAGAATCTTGTATTATATCTGATAGTACATATACATCAATTGTCTTAAAAGGCTTCATTTTGAAGATTAAACTGTTCTCAGGGTCGAGTTTGCCAGGAAAGAGGACTTTCTGAAAAGAAAGACAAACTGAAATTGGGCCAACAAAACTTGAATGCAAGATGTGTGCTAGCCTGAGGAGTGAGTGGCCAAGGCCAATTCTAAAGAGATACTGTTTAAGAACTGGGTACAGTGGCTCACCCCTGCAATCCCAAAAAGGTCACCACGAGTTTGAGACCAACTTGGTTTACTTAAACTAACAGGGCTCCATGGTGAGACCCTGTCTGAACAAAGAGACATTGAGGTAACTTCAACCTTTTGTATGCAGAATTAACACACTGCCAAATTAAATAATTTGTTTTCTTAAAGATAAAACAAGTTGTTTTCAAGTTTAAGAATATATAAACAGAGGCCAGGTGTTGTGACAAACACCTCTGATTCCAGCACTCAGGAGGCAGGGGCAGGCATTCCTCTGTCAAATCAAAACCAGCCAGGGCTATGTATTGAGACCGTCTTAAAAATGGGGGGGGAAATCCAAACAGCTGGCAAGATGGTGCATATATATAATATTATAGGCACTTGCTAGAACTCACATGGTAGACAGAACCAACTCCTGAAAAGCTGTCCTCTCGGACCTCCAGGTGCAGTGGTATTAAGAAAAATATACCTAAACAAGGCCTAGGGATATAGCTCAGAAGTCAGTCTGTTTATCTAATATGCAGGAAGGCCTGAGTTCAATTCCCAGCAAACCATAATCTATATATGGTGTACATTCCTGTAATTGCAGCAGACAGTAAAGGCGAGGAGAGGGTATTTAAGGTTATCTCTGTTCACACAGGAGTTCAAGACCAGCCTGTGATACATGAGACTGCGTCTGAGAACAAAGGAGCCAGTGAGGTGGTTCAGCAGGTGAGAATGCTTGCTGCCCAGCCCAACAACTTGACTTCCGTCCCTGAAACATCCCTCATGGATGAGGAGAATTAACTCTCCCAAGCTGTCCTATGACCTCCACATACATGCCCCCCACAACACATAAAATAAATGTTTAAAGAAACCAGACAAAAACTAAAATACCCAAACAAAGTTAATTTGAAATGTGATGTGCTATTGGATGGCCACTTCTGATGGAGAAAACCACCGAAAAGTGGTTACTAAATGCCAGAGGCTACAAGGAAAGATTGTGTTTTACCAAATATCTGGAAAAAGATTTTGAGTGTTTTGTCAAAAAGATGTTTCAAGCCAGGTGTGCTGGTATATGCTTTTAATACCAGTGCTCGGGAGAGGAGGCAGAAGCAAAGTTAAAGCAGTCCTGGTTTTGAGACAGACCTTGTGGCAAAAGAAAAAAAACAAAAGGATGTTTCAGATAGTAACCTTTTTTCCCAGTCAAGAAAAAATGTTTTTGAAAAACAAAAAAAAAAAAGAAAAAAAACATTATTTGATGCCTATAAATTAGCTATATTTTGAAAGGAAAACAGATACTACTGTTGTCTAGCAAGCATTACAAGATGCTAACCTATACCCCTTTCTTTCTCTAGGTGGCCCCTTGTGTTTAAAAAAAATAATTTTTTTTATTATATTCGTGTGTATAGGTGTTTTCCCTGCATGTCCGTCTGTGTACCCACAACAGGCCAGATGAGGGCATGAGATATCCTAGGGCTGGAGTTACCATGTGGATGCTGGGAACTGAACCTGGGTCCTCTAGAAGAGCAGCCAGTGCCCACTTCTTAACCACTGATCCATCCCTTCATCTCCAGGTCTCTCCTGTGCTCACAGTGGACCTAGACTTTCTAGATTCAGCTGATGGACAATGTTCATATCCTAAATTGATGATGTAAAAATATATAAAAAATCACATTCCACCCTACAAAAACAAGAAAGGAAAAATTCCCCTCCTGTAGTTCATTATCAATACTGAGTTGAGCTGCAACATAAATCAAAAAGTATATGGCCAGAATTAACACTGAGTAAATAAATTATAATAAAGTTATATTATTTATTTATCTATAAAGAAATATATATATAAAAACAAATGTGTACAATGTATGGAATATAGTAAAGAGTAAAATATAAATATGCAAAATATTTTAAACACTACTGTGACTGTGGTCTTTCAAGAGTTGTAAATTTTAAAGTAAACAAAGAAACAAGCATAACACCTTAAAAGTTTTAGTTATACTATTTTTATTCCAAAGAATAAATGCTGAACAAACTCTCCAAATCACAAAATTTGAAAGAAGCCTTTGATCTTCTGCATGGGCTGAGGTAGGCGTCTGCACAGCCGTGGGGCTCGGGAGCAGTCTGCTGCCCTCTAGAACACCGAGGACGTAGGTGCTGAGCCCTGCTAGTGAGCTGTTAACGGAAGTTTCCCTTCTCGTTCCCCAGAGAGCTGCTCAAATTGTTTGTTCTTGGGCTTGCACCATCTCTTTCGTGACAGTTACTATGTTTTGTTTAAAAAATCAAATTGTTGCTTTACATGACCTCTGAGTACAGAAGTATTACTGTGATGTTTAAAACACTGATTGATTGTACTTGCTTAAATACTTTCTCAAATTGATTTTGCATTTCTCTCTAATGATCAGTAAAGATGTAAGATTCTGAGGTATCAGTATGTTCCCTTTTGGTTTAGTAAGACTTCAGTCACACAGTGGTTCTGTACATTACAAACTTTTGTACAATACGCCTCTTCCCAGTATTCGCGGTAGCTCCAGATATTACAGAACTGACATCTGAGGCAGAACACCAGCACATAAAATAAAATCGTTTCAGGAAATCACAGTCTGTAGTCCACACTGAATTTTGAAGGGTGGAAATGTTCTTCCAGTCTGGTGACAAGCTCCTACTACCCAACAGCTCTCCACATCAGTGATGAGTAGCCATGTCTTTATGGTGCATACCACTCTGACTTGATTTGGAAGTATGCACTCAAGATTGATGAAGCCTTTTATGAATCACCCTTCTAGAGCTTTCTGCTCAGGAGCACCAGAACTGTTCCAGTGAAGGAATAATGTATTATGAAAACCTGACTCCCAGAGAATTCCAGTTTCCCTCCTGCTGCTTCTCAGACTAGCTTTCATGTCTACCTAAATATCACTAGTTCCATTATATGTTAGGAAATACAACAAAAATTTTTCATCCACGGGATGAAGTTTCATCTCTGAAACAGGAAGCTGACAATACCCTACCTTGCTTATGAAATTTCCTAAGGATAAGAGGAAAAATTATGAGAAATTGCACTGATCATGTTATATCTAAGTGCTGTTTTTCGGTATTCTGTTTTTAATGGCAGACAACAGCTCTGTTAAGTCTAAACTAGGAAAAAAAATGACATTTCATTCAGAATCTCATTGTTTGGCAGCTAATCTGATTAATTTGGGAATGTGACAGATTTTAGTTCTATGTCCTGTCCCTAACTAAGACAACAATGGTAATTTCCGATGACAATGGCTCTCTGGGCATCATCTCACACGCCCCTGTCCAGCTGCTCACCTGTAAGCTGTGCCAGCTGGAGTGAGGCTCCCACGCTTATGGTACTTGTTCTTCTCAGAGAACCACGGCCTTGCATTCTGTGCCACAGCCATGAAGAAACAAGTGAACCTCACTGCACAACATCTCATACACATTTCCTCATTCTGCACAAGACATGATGTATCTGAGCCAAATATTGCTACCTACAAGATAGTATATGCATTTTCAGGGCAACAGACAACTAACTAATCAAATGCCTTCATTTTGCTGCAAGAGTTCACTCGTACTTTGCAAAATATATACACTGTTCATAGTACCTTCCTGAAGCCCTGACTAACATCAATAGAAGTGAAGATCCTGTTTCCTCAAAAAATGTGTCAAAATACTATGTGTTGCAATATTACTTATGTTCCTAAAACAAAATAATTTCCCTTTACAAGCTGCTTTTATGTTTTCTTTCTAATTGCATTTTGACTTTGTGTGTGTGCGCGCACACATGGGCCACAGGGCATATGTGAAGGTCAGAAGACAACTTGAAGACTCTGTTCTCTTTCCACTATTTGAGACCCAGGGTTCAAACTTAGGTTGTCAGGCTTGGCAGCAAGCACCTTTACCTACTATCCTGCTTTTGGTTTGAGCAAGACCTCACTCTGAAGCTCAAGCTGACCTGGAACTCATTATATGGCCTAGGCAGACCTTGAACTTGTGGCAATCTCCTACCTCAGCTTCCTGAATGCAGAAATTACAGATATAAAGCTACCACAACTGGCTACAAGGTACTATAGTATTTGTTTCAGTAAAAAAATCAAACTCTTGGTTAAATGTCATAACTGAATGTCAAAAGTGCCTCCAGGAGATGTATATTTTCACTTTGTTAATTCTCTTATTGATTAAAGTGTTCCATAGACTGAAAATACAGTCAAATAATGAAGTTCAAGTTTCTTTCATTTTCAGTTGATCACAAATTGGACAAAAATGAAAAAGCAGAACTTCTCCAAGTTCACAAAGCTTAGCTAACATTGAGACACTGGCTTTTTCCTAGTAGCATACAATATTTGACTTCAACAAAAATATTTAGATAAGTTTCAAAGTTCTCTATTATTGTATGGGTATCCACTGAGGATGATGATTTGTACATTTAGCAATACTGAACTATGTACCTAACTAAGCTAAGTAATTTGCAGAAAGGAAAAATAACAAAGTATCCCTTTCCAATTGGTTTCAAACTTTACAGAGACAGACTTGAGATACAACTGTAGATCACTGTAAATCTGATCTTATCACTAGAACCCGCAGGATGTAAATATTCCAGTTGTATATTGTTAGGCATTTGTCAAATGATAACCAAATGTTTTAAGCTTGTAAAATAGTATTTGGATGATGGATACTGCCATGGATCTTTCTGCCTGATTTTTTTATGTAAGCGCAGATATTCTAGTAAACTAATTTTCATCTAGTCAGTCTTTGGGTTATCACTTCTCGATACATAATAGAGATGTAGATAAGCAACAAAAAAATAACAAAGAAGTCATCTAGAAAGCCCAGAATTCCAAACAAGGCTTCAGGTACAAAATCTAGAGGTGATATTAGATAGAAAAAAGCCCCCATTAAACAAAGCATTATCCTAATTCGGAACATCCAGAAGAGACCCCCAACTGAAAACACTTCCCTGAAGGCATGTCTCAGCAAGGTGGGGAGATCCATGATTCTTTCCATAAGCTGAAGGAGGAAAAGCAAGCACGACAATTTAACATCTATTATATCAAATTAAAAAGTAATATAATTAAAAAAAAGTAATATAATTTTTATACAATGTATAAATTCAGCTAAGATGAATTAAGGTGTTTGACACACATAATACTAGGTTTTCCAATTATGGATTTTATTTAAAAATAGTTTAGTTAGTAGATTCTTATAAAACAAATTTTATTGTAGATAACTAAAAAGTAATAAAGTACTAAAATGCTTAAAATGTGGGATACAGATACACATTATCTGAATGTCTAATACTTCAAATGCTACAAAATTTTGAAGTGTTCTGAAAAATAAAAATTTCTAAAGTCTAAAACTCTGGGGCCAAAATGTTTTGGATTTCAGAACATGTCAAATTTATGATTTTAAGATCTTCAGATTTGGGGGGCTCTATTTGTAAAGTCCATGCAAATACTCTGAAATGAGAAAACATGTCTCAAGCATTTCAGTTAAGTGGTTCTAAGTCTAAAGTCATGCAAAATTCAAGTATCAATAATCTGATTTAACAAAATGAGTCAAGAAACCATAGGCCAGGAATGGTAGCTCACACCCATAGTTTCCAGCATCAGGAGGTTGGAAGGTAGGAGGATCAACAATAGCTCAAGGCCAGTCTAGACTAGAGAATGAGACCCTGTCTCAAAAAAGTTATGATATAGGCTTATAGTCTGAGATTTGTTCCCAGGTGCCAAATATACTATCAAGATATATCTGGGCTGGATTAAAAGTAATCAATTATCGTAAGAGGTGACCTTGGGTTACAACTTTCTAACATACTAGAAATAATTTAACAAAAATTGAGTATTTAATTACCCAGGAGAATTACTAAGAACTACAAAGTTGTTGTACAGAAAATGCCTTTGTAACAATAAATAAATAATAAAACACCAGACTATGTACAGTTTTATAACACTGGGGACTGAACCCAGGGCCTTTGGTGGGCAAGTGTTATACTTGAGCTATATCCCCACATCTCTTTTTTTTATTCAGAGAGCAACTCATCACCTTGAATTTGTGATCCTCCTGCCTCAGCTTCCCAAATACCTGGGATTACATGTCTGTTCCATCAGCCCTGGGTAAGTATTATACATTAAAACACACTCAGGGGGGCTAAAGAGATGGCTCAGAGGTTAAGGCACTGGGTGTTCTTCCAGAGGTTCTAGGTTCAATTCCCAGCAACCACATGGTAGCTTATATTCATCTATGGCGGGATCTGATGCCATCTTCTCGCATAAAGGAATACATGCAGATAAAGCACTCATACATAAAATAAATCTAAAAAAAGAAAACCCACACAAAGGTGTGTGTACACACATATGCAGGGCAGAGGGCTACCACATTCCATAGATATCCCTAGAGAATATGTGTAAAATAAATAAAATAACCTGGGGTCGGAGAGATGGCTCAGATGTTAGGAGCATTTACTATCATTGTGGAGGACCTAGGTTCAGTTTCCAGCACCCACACTGGTGGCTCACAATCACCATTCCAATTCCAGAGATACTCATGTCCTCTTTAGGCCATCATGGACACCTACATGCATAAACAAAACATTTTTAATGCTAGGTCAAAAACTAGGTATGAGCATAGTGACACATACCTTTAAGCCCAGTACTTGGGAGGCAGAAGCAAGTAGACCTATGTGATTTCAAGGCCAGACTAGTTATATATTAAGTTCCAGACAAGTCAGGGCTACATGTCTCAAAAATAAAAAACTGTGGCCCCTGTAAAGGCTCTAACTTATTGACTAGCAATGATGGTTAAAACTTGGTCCAAAACACCTGATAACACTTTATATAGTCCAGGGTCTCACTGTAAATCTGATTTTACAAATAAAAAAATATAAAGGTTCTTTCTGACTTTGCACCTGCTGTAGCAGTACTTACAGATCTAGGCTGCCCTGAGAATCTCCGGTTATAATCATTAACATCTTGATGCAGTCTTACAACATCCTGAGACTGATCATCTTCACCAAAGACTGTGAGCAGTAGAGTTACCTGTGTATTACAGGAAAAAGCTGTTACACCTTCTGCAACATTATTATTAGTTTCTCACTCTGTGTTGTTCAAAAGACTGATAAAAGCTTCTGAATGTGTATTTCATTCATTCCTTAGGTAAAGGCAACATGGGGAACAAGTAAATAATTACACTGCCTTACTGTAAAATGTCATACAAAGTGTAAATTTTAATTCCTCCAAGATAAAATGGACTCCATATCTAAACACTTACTCTAATATTTTCTTGCCTGTATCAGAGGCTAAAACTCAGTTCTCTGGGAAAACATACTTGGAGATAAAAGGATAAGAAAACCTTCAGTAACAGTGTTAAAAATATTTTCAAAAACATTAAAAATATAAACCTTATGTTAGCCAGGTGGTGGTGGCACACGCCTTTAATCCCAGCACTCAGGAGGCAGAGACAGGCAGATCTCTGTGAGTTCGAGGCCAGCCTGGTCTACAAGAGCTAGTTCCAGGACAGGCTCCAAAAGCTACAGAGAAACCCTGTATTGAAAAACAACAACAAAAAACAAAAACAAAAACAAAATACCCTTATGTTATCAAAGAAAAGACTGAGCATTTCTGAATGATTCATTTCTACTCAGATTCAACATCTTTGAGTGATATATAATACAGAAATTACAGTACTGTATGGCCTGACACTCTGAAACACCAATTCCTTTTGTAAAAAGCAGATGTAAGTCTTGGTACTGTTGCTAACAAAGATTGGTTTTGCTACTTTCATGGCCATGATAAAGATAGCACACAGTTGCCTCAGGACAGTACAGAGACCTTGAAAAATTATAGCTAATAACGTAACAATATGCAAAGAATAGTTGCTGATAAATATGAGATAAAATGGAAGGGACTCAAAACAGGTTTAGTGGGCCAGAGAGACGGCTCACTGAGTAAGAGCGCACTGCTGTTCCAGAGGTGCTCATGACCATCTGTAATGGGGTCAATGCCCTCTTCTCTCACCTACAGATGTACATGCAGACAGAGCGCTCATATGCATAGTCTATATCTATATCTATAAATCTTTAAAAAAAGAACAGGTTTAGTTTTGAACCATTATAGATGGTTGGGTTTTTTTTTTTTTTATCCTTTTTTGGCTTAAGAAAACCACTGTTCAGTGTCTCTTTCCTGCTGCATTTGAATGTGGATGTAGAACTCTCAGCTCCTTCTCCAGCACCATGTCTGCCTGCATGCTACCATGCTTCTGGCCATGATGATAATGAACTAAATCTTCCAAACTGTAAGCAAGTTCCAGTTAAATGCTTTCCTTTCTAAGAGTTGCCGTGGTCGTGGTGTCTCTTCACAGCAATAGAACACTGGTTAAGACATGGTGGAATTTACTTTTAGTTCAAGATATACTATCTGGCCTCCATGTTTCTGGCAAAAGGTAAGAGCTACTGGCAGTTTGCTTAAGGCAATTCGATTGGCTATGTCACACATCAGCCACAGAAACAGTTAAGGGCGGAAAATCAACTTCTCTTCTGATCATGTGAGAAAAAGTGAAAAGTGAATGATGTACAGAAATAAAAGGAAACGAAGAAAATCTAGCTTTCCCGCTCTCACAGTAACGGGAAAATGACAGCTAAAACAAAGGATATGCACGCAGGAGATAACATTTGCCACATGATTAGCTAGTTCATTTATTCCTTTGCTGGTCATAAAACAAAGGCTTAGGAATTGGGATAAGCTTATTTATTACTTGCTTCTCACTACAACTGCGGGATTTCAAATATAATTCCCTTTTTAGCATACCTGAATGAGTTCTTAAAATGTACTTTTAAAAAACTTAGTGAAGTCATAGACATAGTAAGTAAAAATTGAGTTTGGCTAAAAAAGTAGCCCAATTTAAAATTTAAAACTGTTAATCCTGGGCAGGAAAGATGGCCCAATGACTAAGAAAACTTAGCTCTTGCAGACTGGGTTCAGTTCTCAGCACCAATATAGTAGCTCACAGTCACTATAAGTTCAGTTCGAGAGAATCCAGGCTCGAGAGGCCTTCTTCGGACCTCGTGGGTTCTTGCACACACAGGCTGTACATACATACACATAAAACATTTTAAAACAAAAAACTGCTAATATTTGTGAAATGAAATAACACTACCGTTTGTCTACAGATTGGACAACTGATTGCACCAAGCCAGGACCCATATCGCCAGTATGCAATTATGCAGGAACCTAGTGGAACAAGAAAATATCAACAATGAAGCTTTAAAGTCTATATATACTGGCCAAGTTTCAACTATTTAACAACATTACCTTTCTTTAAACACTGTTTATTGTTTATTAAATATTCCTTGAAACAAATTATTTCATTCAACCAAACCCACAGGTAAAATTAAAATCTAGCAATCATTTTCAACCATTAAAAAACATTTTTATTTCAACTACTAATTAACAGACATTTTATACAATAAAAAACAATTATTAAACACCTCAGTTACTGAGGCCTCACAGAAAATAGTTTCTGATGTAAAATAAACATGGTGTTAAATATGATAAACTTAAATACTTTTTGTTCCAAATTTGGTGTATTTGAAAAATACTTGTTTTAGTTCACTGAGCCAGCAGGCTGTGTTGACACATAGCTATAGTCCCAGTACTGGGAGGCCACCTTGGGCTACCCAGTGAAACCCTACTTCAACAATAACAATGGTTTAGAAAGTCAAATTAAATGAGGTGTGGTGGTTATAATCCCTTCACTTAGAAGGTTTAGGTGAGAGGTCAGGAGTTTAAGACCAACTTCAACTACACAGCAAGTTCAAGACCAGCCTTTCCTCCCTGCCATTCCAAAAACTGAAAACAAAATCACTGGAATATGAGGCTTCCTTGATAAAATGTCTATCCTAGTTTAATATTTGAAGTACTTACTCTCCTAGATGATATTCATGAGGAAGGGGAAGCTGGCTCAGTCAGTAAAGTCTCCGCTGTACAAACATGAGGACCTAAGTTAGTCCCACAAACCTGGTGTAGGCGGTCCTTCTGACTTTGTGTTGCTTTCATTGGTTAATAAAGAAACTGCTTTGGGCCTGTTGATAGGACAGAACTTAGGTAGGCAGGGAAAACAGAACTGAATGTTGGGAGAAAGAAGGGCGGAGAAAGAAGGGCAGAGTTGGAGATAAGTCACAGATCCACCAGAGACAGAAGCTGGGAATTTTACCCAGTAAGACACTGCCACATGGTAATACACAGATTAATAGAGATGGGTTAAATTAATTTGAGTTAGCCAATAAGAAGTTAGAGCTAATGGGCCAAGCAGTGTTTTAATGAATACAATGTCTGTGTGGTTATTTTGGGGCTAAGCTAACTGGGCGGCCAGGACAAACAAGCAGCCCCTCCTTGCAACACAAACCAATGTAAAATAGTTGGACACTGTGGCACACACATGGGATCCCAGTACTGGGGAGACAAAGACAGGCTGATCTCTGGGGCTCACTGGCAACCAGCCCAGCCTACCTAGCAAGCTCCATGACAATAAGAAGGCCACCTCCCAATTCAGAAAAGAGAAAAGGTCAGTCCTGGGGAGTTAGCTGAATATGTAAGGTCAGAGTAAGTATAAGAACGTTCATCGCGATACTCGTGTTCATTTTTTGCTACTGTTTAAATCCAGGTTCTGCAATTTGTGCCTGTGATGCCAAAGCAGAAAAGGTGGCAATATGAACATTCCTGGGCCTTGATGGCCACCCAGTCTAGCAAATGAGCAAGCTCCAGGTTGAGTGAGTTTCTATCTCAGAAATATGGTAGAGAGTGACTGAGGAAGTCACCACCACATGCACACATACCCATCCCACCCCCCAACACACACACACATGAGAAAGAAGAAAGAAGGTATTCTGATGACCAACACCTGAGGTTGATATGGGCCTCCACAAGCACCCTCCCCATACACACATGTATGCCACACAAACACACACTCACACACGAAGATATTCATGGGCAACAAAACAACCAAAGATGACAACCCTGCCTGTGAGAAGACCTCAAAAGTGGGCAGGGGCACTCAGCAGATAAACACTTAGCTTCAATCCATTAACATGAAGGAACATTTTTACTGCCTGATGATTTTAAAGGGCCAAACAGAGAGCTTTGCGTATGCCAGGCAAGTACTCTACTAACTAGCTACATCACCAGCACCCACGTTCCTTACTCTGACCTCTCTGAGCCAGAATTTGGAAGAAGTAATAGCAAACCAATTGTGGAAAACAAAGTGATGTACTCAAATCAGCTAGAAGATAGCTAAGTCTTAAATCGTGCAATGCTAAGCAAAAAGGAGTAGATATATACAGATGGCAGCCTAAGTACAGCACTTGAGCCGAACTTTGTAGGACAGCTGAGGTACAGACAGGTAGAAAACAGGAGACAAGACACTTGTATTCTTTATGAACAAGAGTTCAAGCAGAAAGGAATGGTTTGTGAGAATACCAGTGAACAACCGCTTGGATTAGCAGAAGCTGGCCAAGTTAGGGAACAGTCAATTCAACAACTTCAAGATGAGTTTAAAAGCGAAACTATTATTACTGTGTTAGTTACAAAGTTTATTAAGTACTTTGGGTATTCTAATTTCACACAAAATCTGTATGAAAGCAAAACTTGGGGCTGTAGAAATAGCTCAGTTGCTGAAGTGCTTGTCCCCAGAGTCCATGTGAAACAAATGAAAGCCAGGAGGTTAGGGAGTTAGGTTAGTGCCCGAGTTTGGCTCTGTAGCACTGATGTAAAAGCCAGGTACTGTGGCATGTATTTGTAACCCCAGCACGAGGGGGGAAATTATGGGGGATTGCTGGTCAGCTAGTCTAACCTAACCACTGAGTTCCAGGTTAGAGGAGGGGATGTGACAAACTAAGATAAACCAGGTATAGTGACATACACCTTTAATCTTAGCACTAGGGTGGTTGAGACAGGTGGATCTCTATGAATTTGAGGCCAGCCTGGTCTACAGTGAGATCCAGAAGAGTCAGAGTTACATTAATAGAGAAACCCTGTTTCAAAAAAAAACCCCAAACAAACAAGAAAACAAAAAGCCACCACCACCAACAACAACAAAAAACAGACTGGCAACAATATCAGTACCAATCTCTAACCTCAACATATACATATGTGAAAATGGGTATGCATACACACATGCACACATACTTGCATGCCCACACAAATGCATGAGCCTGTACACATACAAATATATACACAGGTGCATACACACACAAAAAAAAACCCAGAAATTAATTTATTAGTGATATTTTCGCCTGATACCATGTCTTAGCTTTATCTATGACCTTTTCACCCAAAAATTCAACCTACTTTGATAGACATCACACTCATTTAGCCTTGAGTATCTTTTCCTCAAACTAGGGTGTGGGTGTCCTTATTATGCCAGTTATGTAACACCATTTGGTTTCACTGAAAAACTATGACTCAGCAGATTAAATGCTTCAATTCATCTGCTATTAGACACTTGACTGTTTTTTTATTCAATTTTCTCCCTTCATAGAAAAGATACTTAAGTATCATCTGGTACAAGAGATGACTGAACTTTCATCTGGGTCACAATCTCTCTGAATCTATTTAATTGCAAAATGAGAACAAAATTTCACAGGCCTGACAGTTAAATAATGCAAACCTTAGATGCAAATAAGATGATTCTATTGCTGTTAGTATTCTAATTTACTGTAGTGGAGCAGAGGGGTTATGCTACATAAAAGAACTACTATCCAGAAAATTTATTTGAGAAATTGCATAACAAGTTCTTTACTTTTGAATTTACTAAGTAAGTAAATGTATGTAGCACGGCTCAGTTGGTGGAGTGCTAGCTTAGCATACACAAGGCCTTGGGTTATCAATATTCCCTCAGCACATAAAAGAGGTATGGTAGTGCATGCCTAAATCTCAGCACCTGGGAGGTAATGTGGATCAGAAGTTCAAGGTCATCCTGGGCTACATAGCACATTTGAAACCAATCTAGGATACACGAGACCCATCTCAAAAGAAAAAGGTAGCTAACAAGTGGAGCAGGATATCAGGAGCAATCTAAACTATTACCTCAGACTCAGAGGTAACAGCAAGAACACAATACAGCCATCTTTCAACCCACAGGATTATCCAGCCAGTGAATCAGCTATGCCTGAGTTGGCAAACAAGTTCATTTTGTCTGCCAAGCCTCACAGACTGCTAACACCTGCCAGAAGGAGGACCAAGACCCTGTCTAGATTCAGGAGGTGGGTCAGATGGATCAGGAGCACCTATCACAGGTCTGAGAGCAGCAAGATGTCTGTCTCTCCTGATGGCCATTAGCTGCCGTCCCCCACTTGATCCTTATTATCCTGCTATTCAGCATTCCCGAAAGACAATTAAAAGACTGAAATGAGGCAGGCAGATGCATCAGTGAGCAAAGCACTTGCTATTCAAGCCTGAGGGCCTGAGTTCAGATCCCTAGCACCCATGTAAGGCTGGATACAGTGACACAGTCTGTAATCTCGGTGCTCTGGAAATGGAATGTGAAGACAGGAGAAGATGCAGAAGCTTGTAGGCCAGCTAGCGTGGCATATGCAGAAGTGAACAAGAGACCCTATCTCACGGTGGAAACAAGGACTCACTCAGATTTGTCCTTTACTATCTCTACACAGCCATGACACCTGGACTAAGGCAACAAACACAAAGAGTCTTGAACCAAAACAAAAGCTGAAAGACCATCAGTAGAGCTCAGAGAAGGGCTGGACAGAGTTCCTGAGAGAAGAAATACCCTCCCTTGGCCAAGGTGAATGATAAATTCCATAGATAATCCAGTGTTCTATCATATGTTAGAGAACTGGGCAAAATACCTTAGTGAGGTTGGGCATGGTGGTACATGCCTGTATCCCAAAGTTTTGGAGGTGAGGTAGGAGTATTGCCAGTTAGTTCAGTGTCTGGCTGTTGTACAAAGCAATATATTGTCTCAAAAAAATTCAAACTAAAACCATAGCTGAGTCTGGTGGGATAGGCTTTTAGTCTCAGCATTTGGACGGCAGAGGGAAGTGAATCTCTGGGTTTGAAGAAATTCGGCCACACAGCAAGTTTGAGGCCAGCCAGGGCTACAAGGAGAGACCCAGGATTTAAGAAGAAAATCTTGGGGAGTTTGAAATTAATGGCTGAAGGAACATAGAACTAGATTCACAATAACAATCACAACTAGATTCAAGAATCACAATGTATGGAAAACTCTGCACTGCAAGGTAGAGATTTCAAATATCCCCATCAAACACAGCGGTATCAATAATATCAATATATCAATAATAAAACTGTAAAGATTCTATGATGAAGTCAAACAAAAGACACAAAAGAGAGGACACTAATAAAGGATCATGATATGCTACATTTTAAATTAGTCTTTAAGTAAAAATTCAGAGCATACTGGGAATAATTAAGAATTATCTTAATTGTATATACTAATGGGTTAGGACGCTTCTAATATCCTGCTCACTAGCCATGTTTATGTAGTATCTGTAGGTCCAAGGGGTAAAACATAAAAAGAAAAACACTTTGTTATTCAACTTGAGGCTGATAGAAAGGAACAAATACCGACACTGGAAATTAGACCTAGTGACGACATAGCTAACCTAGAGCAGTGCTTAGGAGTGTTCATCTTCCTGGAAGCCACCAATCAAAGCAGAATTAAGCAGAGAGCGTAAAGACAGATCTAGGTTGTTTGAAAGCTAGGTTACTCATTACAAAATTTCTTGCCTTCTCTGAACCTCAGTTTCTGACTTGTGAGGTTGGATGAGATTAAGTATATTATTCTTCCAGTACACAGCGGGCACATCCCAATCTTGTATGGACATAATAAGAAATAACGGTATCTTGATACTCTCTATGAAGTCTCTTAGGGATCAGGAAAGCCAATGTGGGACAGTAGGCACCTCTCATTGACACTGATGTGAAAATACTCCCTTGTATGCTGACATGTGTTCTAGGTGTCTCATTCTCTATCTCCAACTCCTTAAGGTCACACAGAGAGAGTAAAGACAGGTAATAGAGGTTTGTGGCTTAGTTCTTGAGAGAACACTCTTGCTATGGGAAATCTAAATAACAAATAAATTGACAAAAGTTGAAGAAGGACTCAGTGGACCCATAGTGTTACTAGTAAACTTGAACTCTTCCTCCAAGAAACACATTGCTAATGATTTAGAAGGTTAATGAACTTCGGTTTTCTTTCTAAACCTTAGAACCCACAAATGCTACTGCACTAAATAGATAATAAATTATGTTTAATACCTGTCTGTCTGTGTGTATATATACTATTACACAGGCAAAGGTGTGTGTATATACATACATACATACATACATACACACTTTTTTGAGATTGGCTCTCATGTAAACCAAGGTGGTCTTAAACTTGCTTTCTAGCTGAGGATGACTTTGAACTTCTGATCCTTCTGCCTCCACTGAGTACTAGGATTCAGGCATGCACCACCAAGTCTGATTACAGCCCTGGAGATCAAGTGCATGAAGGCAGGAACTCTACCAACTGATCTACATCCTCAGACTTTACTATATTTACCATCTAAATAATATACTACTGTTGGGAGAGCAACTAGAACAGGACATCAGAAGCAACCTACTTTTCTCAAGAAATAGAAGATGTGATAAAAAGAAGATTATCAATCCAACCTATGTACACACATAGGTCCTGAGTAGTCATTTTAACCAAGTATGATATTGTTTGCTTACCACAAAAAAGATGTCCACAGTTTGTTTCAACAGGAAGGGAGGCCTGATGTAAGCAGATTGGACAGTACATTTCAGTGTAGAACTGCTGTCGAGGAGGAGCAGGGACATCCTGGTGAGAGAACACAGACACACCTCTCAGAACAGAAATTACACATACATAATGGCTTAGGGTCTTACAAGACTGAAAAGTTTACAAAGTTATACAGTTTTATTTAAACTACTTGGCCTCTACTTTCCTTCCTAAACACAATTTCAAACCAAAATATAGATTAACTCAAGGTTTGTCTTTTACTTTATTATAGTGCATACGTTATTTTGAGTTCCACAAGCGAATATATAAACTAGAGAATAAGAAACACCAGGCTTTATAGCAGAATCATCATCAAGAAACCAGAGAGACTTCATCCAGCAATTGATGGGAGTGGATGGAGAGTCCCACAGCCAAATATGAGATGGAGCTTGGGGAGTCCTGCAGAGGAGGGGAGGGAAGGTAAAAGGAACTGGAGGGTCAGGGACACCATAAGAACACGGCCCACAGAATCAACTGACTAGGACTCGTGGGGATTCACAGAGATGAGGGAACCTGTAGGGAGGGCTCTGATGTAGGTCCTCCGCATAAATGTTATGGCTGAGCATCTTGGTGTTCTTGTGGGATGCCTAACAGTGAGAGCAGGGGGCTGTCTCTGCTGTGCCATGTTTGGTTGATATCCCTGGGAGGCCTGCTCTTCTCCGAGGGGAGGTAGAGGTAAGGTGGGGATAGATCTGGGGGAGAAACTGGGGAGAGAGAAGACAGGGAAAATTGTGGTCGAGATGGAATATATGAGAGAAGAATAAAAGAGAAAAACAAATTTAAAAAAGAAAAAAGAAAGAAACACCAGGCTTCAGTGTAACTCCATGGGAATGCACCCACTTAGCATGTAAGAAGCCCTGGGTTTGATCCTTAATACCATCGAAAGAGAAAAAGTAATATCAGACTATTATTCTTAGCATTCATTTAAAAACTTTTTAACATTTTCAATTTTGGGGGGTTTTTTTGAAACAGGTTCTTGCTATGTAGTCCTGGCAGACCTGGAATTTACAGTTCTTTAACAGCTGTCCTCGGAAAAGTGCTGCATGTCTGCTCTACCTTCCACAAGAACAGAACTAAACTTCAGCGAAGATTTGCGAATGCTAGAAGAAGAAAAAATTGAACACCACTGAACTTTGAACTTTGGTCCTCACAAAGCCATGCGAGTAAATGTTAATATGCTTTTCAGTGGACATGCCTGGAGTCCCAACAGCAAGGTAAGAAGTCCAACTTACCCTTGGCTATCTAATAAGTTCCAGGCTCAGGCTACATGAGACCTTGTCTCAGAACCCCAAACCAATCGAATGCATACATTTATGCATATTCCTTGGATATCACTGTTATGATCCAAGAGCCATGTTGACTGAAATTACGCACACATCAAATATCATTCTGAAATATAAGAGCCATGAAGGCCAAAACTCCACTTGTAGGATTCACTGTAGTACCTAAGGACCTGGACAACTAGCTAGCACTAACACAAAATGTACAGCTTTATCGGGGACTGGAAAGCTGGCTCAACTGTTTGTATGTTCAGTTCCCAGAACTCACATGATGGCTCACAACCATCTGTAATCAATTTCCAGAGAGTCTAACATCCTCTTCTGAATTCCATGGCACTAGGTACACACATGGTGCACACATACACACACACACACACACGAGGCAAAACATTCATATACATATAATAAATAGGTATTAAATTTTTTAAAAAATAATCTTCACAAAAAATCAAATTTAGTAAATACAAACAGAACTGTAAATTGAATTAAAGAACTTTGATGCAATGTCAAGAAATTGGAATTAGAATTTTATTATTTCTTTTTTTAAAGATTTTATTTATTTATTATATATACAGTATTCTGTCTACATGTACATCTGCAGGCCAGAAGAGAACATCAGATCTCATTATAGACGGTTTTGAGCCACCACGTGGTTGTTGGGAATTGAACTCAGGATCTCTGGAAGAGCAGTCAGTGCTCTTAACCTCTGGGCCATCTCTCCAGTCCCGAATTTTATATTTCTTAAGACAGTATCAAATTAACCCAAGATGGTAAAGTCACAGCAGTCTTAATATTATAAAAAGAAAATAGTTAAATACTAAAATAAAAGAATTCCACCTTCATTTTTTTTTAAAGAATGTTCTACCCCTTTCTGAACGGAAACAAAGGAGGAATGGAGGGGAGGCAGAATGGAAGGAGACGAGGGACGGGAAACTGCAATCGGGATATAAAATAAATTAAAAAATTTAATTAATAAAAATATTTTAACATAAAAAACAAGAATATAACAACAAAAGTCTATTGTGGTAGCTCACACCTGTAATCCCAGCATTAGGGAGGCAGAGGCAAGTACGTCTATGAGTTTGTGGCCAGCTTGGTCTACATAGCAAGTTCTGGGCCAGCCAGGAATACATGATTCTGTCTCAAAAAAAAAAAAAAAAAAAAAAAAAAAAAAAAAAAAAAAAAAA